TTGGGTTCAACTAACAAACCCTTAGCTTGGCAATTTAAGAATATATCTTTATTTCTACTAGTGATTTAATGTATATTAAAACAAAGAGCATTTAACTACCCTAATGCTTAGTCTATTCTAAAACTACAAAAATTATAGTTACACATAATAATATAATGAAACTGCTGTAAAAATTTCAGGATCAAAACTATCACCAATTCACCACAAAAATTCCTACAATAATCAACTTAATAATATTAAGCATTGTCATACTATTTAATAGCTCCTAGTGTCAACACATATAAACATGAACTAAATATACCAACAAATAGATCACAATTTTAGGAACCTAACAAAATTTGTTTCATAATTTTTGGACACATACATGATTTTATATTAATTACCAAAGATCAGCTTAGAAATTATATTAGAAAACAATTTCTAATTCCTTAGGAAAATGAAAAGTGAATCTCCCGTCCGGCCCACGCGCGCAACCCGCGCGACACAGCGCGCGCGCAATGGCCCGCTTTCGTTGTCCACGCGCGAGACGCCCGCGCGCTGGCGCTTTATGCAAGAGGCCTCAAATTTGTTACAAATCACAACTAAGTACTAACACTATGTCCCCCTCTCACGGGCCTTCTCACTTAACCCCCTAACATTTCCCTAATTCACCCACACGCACCCCAGCGACTCAGCGCACGGCGGCGCGGCGGGCGGTGACACGACGCGACCGCGCCGACCACCAGAGGCTAGGCCGACCTTCAACTACGGTCCAACCGCCTACACCAACCAGCAACGCGGGGCGGCGAGACGTGCTAGAGCGAGCTACAGCGATGCGCGACCGTCCGCGACGGCGGCGCACCCGCTCCGGTGAGCTGGGGCTGCTACGAACCTAATTGGCTGGCGAGTGAGCATCAGGAGATTACCATGGACAAGGACAAGGTGACGGTTGAGGTGAAGGATGGCGGAGGAGGGGTGGCCACGTGCGGTCGAGCCATGCGGCGGTGCACCGCGGTGGCACGGTCGTGTCGACAGCGACGGGGAGGCGGTAGCGGTTCCTCTGGCTTGCGCAAGGTGGAGAGGGAGGCAAGGCGAAGCTAGTAGTGCAGGTGAATTGGTTCGGGGTGGCGGTAGGAGGGCTGCCATCGGCACCTATCGATCACGGCCTTATCGGCTCGACGGCGGGGAAAGCTCCAAATTGGGGCTTGGCAGTGCGTGCTTCATGGCTGGGTGGGGTTGGGCAGCTGGAGAACTCACTGGCGAGGTCGTAGACGGGCGGAATTGATTGGAGATGACCTCTTGCTGTCTAATGTGCTGGCGTGGCTCCGATGGCGGCGGCAGAGGGAAAGAGGGACGGGTCCAAGCTTTGGCCGTCCTCACCTTGGCAGCTAGCGGTCGACCGGACTCGCGACCGTGCCTGCGCACTTGCTATGCGACACGCGACCAAACCACGTGCGCGCGAGGCAAGGCAAGCGGGGGCGCGGCCGCAGCGCCATTAAGGCAAGGCGACGGCTCGAGGGCAGCCGAGACATCCCACGTGCCCGCGGTGGCAGAGCGAGCGGCAGCAGCGCAACACGGCATTGCGGTGGCATCAGTAGGGCAACATGAGGTAGGGCAGCAGTGTGCGAACGCGACGACGAGGTGATGGCACCGGCAGTGGCTTCGTCGCGGCGCGGGGCGAGGCGGGCGGCAGCAGCAGCTCCGCGTGGTGGGGCCAGCGGCGGCCGGGACACAGCCAGGCCAAAGGCAACCACGGCCAGCCACGCGCGACCAGCGCGGTGACTCCAAGCGCCTGAGCTTGGTGACCGCGTCGACCAGGCGAGCCAGCCCGAGAACGTGTCGCGCACACATTTTAAAGCGCCCATAACAACTAAACAATTGCTTTAGGAACCAAACCATCTTCACCATGTTCAAGATGGCACGTGAGGCTACCAATCCGAGCTAAAACACAACACCACCTCCTAACTCGATTTCATAAAATAAATCGCCAAACATTGCATTGTCTTGTTGTTTATAAACTAGTAAATATTCTAAGTCTTTGAGCTGAACTTGATTCAAGTTGCATTCTAGGCTATTAGAAATGTTAGCTAGCAGTGTTATTTTTCCATGGTAAGTAATTCATTGTCATCTACAAAGTTCATATTCCAAACTTTATTTAAGTGTTACATATATGTTCTATAGTGTTTTTTTGTTCAATAAAAATTAGTTTTAAACCCTACTTAATACATATGAGTTATGAAATAGCTTCTCATTTAACATTTTTATTGATCATCTTAAGTTACAAAAATGTTATCTACACATTCCATCACACGCATTATCACATAAACATGATGCTCATGACATGATTTGGTAATTTGTTTAGGGTATAACACCGAGGGTGTTACAGTATATGGGTAAGTCCCTCTAAAAAGGCTTAACTAGTAGTTAGGGTAGTGTCACGTAAAATCTAACCCCGTCAAGGGACCTCATGCGAACAACCATTGCCTATATAAGTGCCCAAGAGCATTAGAGCAATGAGAGACTCACTTGGACTTTCATTCTTTGCTCTAAAAGACTAAAACCCTAGAGGAGCTCTCTCTTCCTCACTCATTATGGCTTGCTCCCAAACCCGATCTCTCTCCACCGTCTAACCTTCTCCACTCTAACCTGCTCAGAACTCCTGTTCCAACAGCTACTTATTTAAAAATAGAAATAGCACTATATTTTTGTCGATTAGAGTCTTCTAAATAGGTTGTCGGATATTTTGATTGCTATAAGAATTTCTAGAATTAGTTAGGACACCCTTAATGGTATGAAATAGTTATGGTTCTTAGACAACTTCTCTAATTTCGAAGACCTGGTTGAGATTGGTGCCGATGGCAAGGGTATTCCAACAGTAATGGAACTAAGTGATCAATTGGAGAGATGTTAGGGGGAAGGGTAATCATAGTATTCTGTGAGGCACTCGGGCTAAAATCGTTGTATCATGAGGTCCAAAGAAGCCTTCGAGGCGTAGAGTACTCAAGAGCTTTAACAACATAGTTGTGGCCGCTTATCCGTGGATGGGGAAAACTATTCGAGAAAGTCCAGACCATGAGAAGGACTTGATGAACATCTTATCCCATGGCTTCGATGCAAAGAACGTGGGCGACATAGTTGTGTGTCGCGGTCAACTAAAATTTCGAAAGCTTGAAGTCAATGAGATCATCACTGAAAACAAAATATAGAGATGGGAAGGAGAATGTGCAGCTATTTACTTAGCTGATCCATCGTTTTACCGTGAAGAACTGGTAGGAGAGGGGAGGGGGAGGGGGAGGGAGAGAGGAAGAGGGGGAAGAGGCGGCGTGGTCACCATGACAGCTGACGGACCACAGTAGGATTGGGTGTTGTTTCGTCTTTGACGATAAGTACCACGATAAATGTCTAGGTTCTTCAATCCAGTTAAAATAGGATGGTCTTCAGCTCACTCCGGGAAAGGATAACTCCCACTCTTTGTATCTGGTTTACGATATTGAAATGTGTGCATGAATATGTTTTATTCTCTTACCTGTTCAACTCATTTTAATTATGCCATGTCAAATTAATGTAGAGATGCTCCGGGACCATTGGCCATGCTAGAAATGTTCTACACATTTGCCAATTTTGAAGACCCGGTCCAAGCTGATGATAGGGGTATTCTCACAGTCATCGAACTAAGTGCTCAACTGGAGCGCGAGTTGCAGATGGTTGTGGGGAGGGCAATCGTTGTCTTCTGCGAGGCACTGAGGCTGAAGACGATCTACCATGAGGTCCGAAAATGGCTTCGAGTCAACGAGTATTCAAGAACTCTAACAAGAGCGATGTGGAAGCTTCTCCGTTCATGGGATAAACTGTCTGAGGAAGCCCAGTTTATGAGGAGGAGACACAAGACAACGTTGACCACTAACCTTGATGAAATTCACGACATCAATTCTCGTGGCTTCGAGGCAAAGAAGTTGGGTGACATAATTGGGCGTCACAGACAACTAAAATTCAGCAAGCTTGAAGTGAAGGATGTCATCACCCAGAGCAATATACAAAAATGGGAAGGGACCGTTCTGATGTTTACTTAGCTGATCCATCGTTCCAACTAGAAGAACTAACAGGGGAGGGGGAGAGAGGAGAGGTGAAAAGAGGGGGAGGGGTAGAGGGGAGAGGAAGAAATTCAACAAGCTTGAAGGATGTCATCACCCAGAGCAATATACGAAAATGGGAAGGGGACCGTTCTGCTGTTTACTTAGCTGATCCATCGTTCCAAATAGAAGAACTGCCAGGGAAGGGGGAGAGAGGAGAGGTGAAAAGAGGGGGAGGGATAGAAGGGAGAGGAAGAGGCAGAGGAGGAAGGATCATGAGAGGAACAGGAGAAAGAGGCATTGTAGCCCTGATGGTTTTGCGCTGAACGGATCCTTTTGGCATGTTTTTTTTTTTAAACGATACTCCCTCTATTCCAAATTATAAAATATTTTGGCTTTTCTAGATATATTGCTTTTGATATGTATGTAGATATAGTGTATATCTAAGTGCATAGCAAAAATTATGTATCTCGAAAAGCCAAAACGTCTTATAATTTGAAACGGATAGAGTATTAAGTTCTAATCCACTTTTACTGTTTGATAAAAAAAAATTCCCAAGAGTGATGGTTGCATTATGTTTCATCACTTTTGACACAATTGAAACAATACACTGTGAAGTGTTACTGCAGCAGAATAACTGCATCTGATGCCGTAAGGCACATTGTTCGTCGAGGTTCAAAGCGCTAGATGACTGATGAAGAGGAACATATCCATCTTGGCATTGCAAAGAAATGAAAGTGAAGGGGAATCCCTTGTATTACAGAAAATTTGCAGACAAACCAAGTTCACGCCTCTGGGCATGGATCATATCATAGAAGGAGCATTGGAATTGGGAAGCAGCAAATAAACAAGAAAGCATTCGTTGGACCTATGATTGAGAGGAGCTGATACGATACGAGGGCATTACAATAAGCTAGCTAGCCAAGCCAATCCATAGGCGGCAGTAATCAGTCACTCGGAGGAGGGCGAGGGCGGCGGCGCCTGGTCGTCGTCGTCGGCCTGGGACTGGAGCGGCGGGAGGAGCTGGGACTTGCGGCGGGTGTCGCGGGGCGGTAGCGGGATGGCGAGAAAGTGCTTGGTCTTGGAGATGGGGCGTGAGGGGCGGAGCTCGACGACGTCGCCGACCTTGAACTGGTTGTCGGGGTCGTGCGCCTGGTACTTCTTCTTGATGCGCTCCCGGCGCTTGTACTTGGGGTGCGGCGCCAGGCGCACCACCTCCACCCCCACCGTCTTGTCGGCCTTGGTCGTCACCACCCGCCCCGTCAGCTGCCTGGCAGCCTCGATCCGCAGCGCCGCGGGGCGAGCGCCATAGCAAGGCTGGGAGAACTGCGGCGGCAACGGCGACACGGACACGGACACGGACACGAAGGGGGAGCTCAGCAGCATCCTGTCTTTGCTTGTCCTTCTCTCTTTCTCTGCTCGGAGTCGACGGGGTCCGTCCGTCCTCAGGGTCAGGTAGGGGATGATAAGGAGGCCGATAAGTTTTTTTTTTTTTTTTTTGGTTTCGGGGGAGGGGGACTGGGGGACGACGCGCCGGACGCGGCGGCCCTCCTTTCCTTTCCATTCGGTCCAGTGAGACGAGTCCAGGCCTTTTTCTCCGTTCCGTTCGTGTCATCCATCGTGTGGCATTGCTTTGTGTCAAACTTCGACATGTGCATCTTTGTACAAAACTCAAGCGCATTTCCGATACATACGTACATGCCAACTGAGAAACAAGCAAACCTCATACTCAAGCTGTCGCGGATTAAACAGCAATATCGATCGGTTTATCATGTACACCCTCCGTCCAAAATAAGCATAGCTTCCCGAGAAATCAAACGCTTTTAATACAAATGTTGATAATATTTTCTATAAACCTAACCAAATTTAAAAATGTTTGACCCACACAAATATCGTAGCAATGCTTATTTTGAGACAGAGTACTAACCAAAACCAATGGGAGAAACGCAGTGCAGTCACAGGAGAAACAAACCCCATCGATCTTTTATTATTGGGCAATGAATTGATTTCATACAAACCCTTCCTGTCAAACAAGACTCGAAAACAATCCTACACCTAGTAATAAACCAAAAAAAGAATTACACGCTACAAAATCTTTCTGTTTGCTCAATGTTGCCGGGGCGAGGCGAGCAAGTGGGTGGGGTTGGTCAGTGGAATGACAAAAACAAAACCAAGTCCGCTGACCCAACCAACCAATACAAACTGACAGACATTCTCACCATCCCGTTGCAGGCAATAACATTAACACTCACTCCCGCTGGGGAAATGATGCGATGTGCTGTGCGGTGCACCAACTAGTAGACCAGTATACAATGGACAATGGAGTACCAACCAACCACACAACGAACCGAATCGATTCTCAACTGCCACATATGTAAGATGAATCAGCAGCACGCACTCTCGACGACCCCTCACAGACAGACACAGACATACATTCTCATAGCCCTTTCTGCTCCTCTCTGTCTCCGCCATAAAGATGGTCTATGAGGTGAATAAACCACACAAGCTTGCTTCTCGATTGCCATCATACTCCATATCTAGCTAATTTCTGCACAACATCTGGTTGCAGGGTGGCCATGCATTGTTCCCACCCACCGTTTCCAAGTAGCTAGACAAAAAACAGTTTACCACCGTTAATTTATCATCCTTGCCATCATATAATGCAAATGCAACGGCGGGTAAAGAGGCCAGCTTTACCTGCTTGTAGCCATTCAGAATCTGGCACACTTCATTGTGAAGACCTTCACTTTTTATCTCCTGTACACAGATCAAAGAGCACGCATTGAATTCAATAGGGCTATAGGTGAACCTAAAAAAGACTCCCAACCCAATAGGAATCGCAACTCACAGTCCAACTTGCACAGGCCTGGCAGATGTAAGCTAATGAACCAGCGGCTCCTGTAGGGTTTGCCGCCACCTGGTGTAACCAAATAAGATTTCAGAAGAAAATCACCCAGGTAGGAAGAATGCAGCCATAACCAGGAGGTCTGGATATACCATTGCACACAGTCCATGAAAAGCATCCTCTTTCTCAAAATCATCTCTGATCCTGGATCACACCAAAGAAACAAGTTCATTCATCATGCAACAAATCATAGATAAAACACTTGAAAACCATCCTTCCTTCTCTAACCCTTCGGATGTGCTTAAAGACTCCAGAAAAGGGGCACTTACATGCACAAGGCATTGCACCATGCTTGCATGAAATGCTCCATATGAGGGGCCACAATATCTGGACAGACCCAGCTAAGCCTCCCGAGAGTGATTGCACTATTTTCAATAAGTGACTTGTTCAAACCCTGTCAATGTGCAGGGGGAAAAAAACTAGCCCTTTAGTTAAGATCTTAAATGAAACGTGACACAAGAAACCTTAAAAATCACTCACCTCTGGGGATTTTACAATGCGAACCAAGCAAGAAACAACAGTGATCACCACAGGTGCAATTTCTTTGCCAATCTGGAAACAAATAAAATCAGTCACATATATGTACAGAACTTCATAAATACCAATCAGTACTGATATGTCAAAGAAATAAGCTCTGTGGTGGGGCCGGTGCACTGCAACTTTATAAGCGACATATACCAAGAGGAAACCATGCCAAACAGTTTGAACTTTAACAGCATCAAAACAAACAAAAAGGTATTTTATGGATTGCAAAAGAATTCAGCACTGGGCTAAACCAAATGGTATAAAAGTAGGCACTAACCTTGATTGCTAATTCTCCAATAGCCCAACAGGCATTGTTAGCTACTGATACCGCATCCTTCACAGACTGAGGATTCTGCAGCGAAGTTATGAGAAATGAATCAAGATAATTATGATAACAACATATAGACCACACAGAATATGCTTACCAGTTGCTTTGCTGCAACAGTAAGAAATTCTTGAAGGCGTGGATGCAAATGTATTGGGCAAACCTAGTGTAACAAAGAGTGTTAATTTTTTGTAGTGTGAAAATTATCTCAAGATAATATGAACTATGGTGGTATGCGGTCAACCCTAGAAAGGTCTCCAAGAAGGGCAAGGGCACTTTGTCGAACATCAGCTGCTTCATCCATGCAGCATTGCAAAAGTAGATCTCTCAAACTGCTCTGTGCAACCTACAAGAAAATAAAGATGGCATATCAAACTTCTGCATATTTTGTACTAAAATTTTAAGTATAATCAGCAAACAAAGGAAAAGGAGTAATTGCCCTTCAAAAAAGTGTAGATGTCATGGCCATACTTTACTTGGCTCTAAACCCCAATAGTGTGACCATACCACAAGGGCAGGGAGATAACAAGGAACTTCAATATATTTCTTGCTTGATGAGATGGGAAGACTTGACCTTTAATAAACCTCTCTTAGATTAAGGAAATAGAAAACAATGCAATCTGATCTAATCTAATGTCTAACCAACAAACGAGCAACATACCCATCCTGAGCCCATAGTGAACAGGAACATGCGTGCACTGTTCACCTGAACAGAATTGCGCATGGACACTATGCTGGCCCTAGGGAGGTTCAGCGCTCAACTTAAATGGGTGGCTATTGTGTGCACCTGCTCTGAGTTTAAGAAAGGTGAAAGGCGAACCACATGCCCATAGGTGTGCCACAACGCACACAGGCTCGGGCAGCCAGGCCATGAGATAAATGGTGTGCCAAAGGTTTTTGCAAGCCCAAACTCAAGGCTAGAAAGGTAAAAGAGATGGTGGACTGAGGGACAGATTGTGTGTGTGTGTGTGTGTGTGTGGGGGGGGGCAGGCAGAGAGAGAGAGAGAGATTATCGTACTTTAATACTATACTAGGTATAGATAAATAGATGAAAACAGCCCATTTTACAACCTAGAACAATCCACTTTGTAAGATTAACCCCCTAAACATAATTTTGGATCAATTTACTCCCACAAACAATTGGTCTCATACTTGTGCTCTGGTTTTAATCCAATTTCATTACCGCACAAAGCATCATGGCCAAGCATCAGCGCTTAGTTTTAATAAAGTCAAACTTTGCTATATGACAGTAACCAGTAAAACCAACATAACAAGTGGAACTAACTCTTTCCAGATGGAAAAGAAAAACATATCCAGCCATCCTGGTGAGAAGTGAGATCTCAAACCTGAGGAGTCACACCTAACATTCATCCAGGATACACGCTAAACAGACAAAATGCCTAAACTCAGCTACCTGGCAAAATTACCAACTGGACAAACACACATGGTACAGCCCCATGTAATAGAACTGATAATTTCTGTAAACAATACAGTAGATATTGGGACAATCTATGTATTGTCTGACATTAACAAGTTCAAATGGAATAAGAGGTTTATGTGTATACAGCAAAAGCAACAGATACTACTGAAAGAGAACCAAGTGTGGTCAGTTGTTTAGGATCGAGCGCACTAGGATCTTAGGGCTCACCATTCCTCAGGACCCAGCGTGTGCATGTGGGTCCATTCTGGTTAGCCTTCCCTAGTTTAGATGTGCGCTAGGACAGACCCCAGGGGCGGAGCTACATGCTTCCATCAGAGTCAGCTGGCCCCGATGACTTTTGATCAATCCACTATAGTTCTGCTTTAACAATAGCGAATTCCTCCTCTAAGTGCATATTACAGCATGGCCCCAATATGATAGTATGATTGACCCCAATGAATAAATAATTCAACTCCGCCCCTGACGCGCCCATGTGGGTATGTGAGTGGTGTGTTCATGTGATCGTGTATAAAATGTACTTGGAAGGGAAAACGATATCATAAGACAAGAACTTACAAGACTTTCAATACCAGCGCCAAGACCTTCTGCAAGTCCTGACAGTAGGTCCAACGAACAAACAATGAATTCTCTATCATACACCAAACCAGCTGCAGTAGGATCAATCTGCGCATTTGAGGGAAATCATAAAGGAAAAGAAAATGTATGAGTCGTATATGTGATTTGACCTAGCTTATCATATTTAGTGTTTTTTTCAGATGACCAAGATCCAGGGTACTCAGAAAGCACATTACGATGTTGGAAGACGATTTCTGTGCTTACAAGTGACCAAAATACATAGAAACAGCTCACAGGCCACGTAACCACTAAGGTGAACATCTAATTCCTTCCATGAACCATGACACATTATATAATAAGTTTCACCAATTCTGTGAAACAGCTAGAATAATGTGTGTTTTGCACGATTGGACAGCTCCAATTTGATGTCTCTGACATGATAATCAAGATTGAGCAGTCAATGTTAACCAACCATCTAGTTAGCAACTAGATGGTCTCATTTTTTATAGAAATTAGGTATTAGCAGTAAGTACATCATTGCGCTAGTATGGCTGTACAATAAAACTGTGGTTGAAATGAAAAGGAAAAAGAAAAAATCACTGATCAGGTCTCACAAAAAACAAATAATTGTGATA